TTGTTCTTTGAATAACCAGTTGACCATTTTATAATATTTTATTCATGAATAGCTGTTATCCGAATACCATTTTTATTAACTAGAGTATAGTAGTTTCGTTCAATGAATAGTATAAAATACATCTAATGAAAACTATAATTACTAGCTCTCTTAAATATTAAAAATTTAAGTAATTTAATAAATCATATAATTAATTTAAAAATGTATTTAATTTAAATTAAGGTTAATCGAATAATATTTATTACTTAATATTGTTGACGCTAATAAAACTTAATTGTTTAATATACGAGTAACTTGTTGTATTACTATAAATTAATTTAAAATAAGTTTAAAATTCCATCTTGTTATATTTCTAAGTTACTCGTTCAATTGTATTTATATACATTCACTGGCATGTGTATGTCGTACAGTGTACACGACCGGATGTGCAATAATTCTTTATAATATACATTTAATGAGAGTGTTATAAATAGCTTTTATTCATTTTTAAAGTTTAATTATAATCCTAGTCTAAATTTGTGTGTCATTAATGTAGAAGAACGATGACGTTATATTACTTTGTCATTGGTTGATTATTTTATGGGCGATAATATTTTCTTTTTGATGTAAAAACAATATTATTAAAATCTACTCGTCTTAATTTCATATGACTGCATTATGAGAACATTACACGTTATTCCGCATAAATACTTACTGTTTGGATGAACTCCTCAAATCGAGTCGCACATCAATATTATTTTGTTGCGCGTTTTTTAAACATGTCTCTTCCCACGCGCGTTAGCCAGGCGCGGTAATTACGTCATTGCAGCGCACGATCGTGTTAGTTTTATTTTCATTCCATCGCCCTATATCCGGAAGGGATCTTGAAACTCCAAACGGCTAATTTACAGTACTGAATCTGATCACCAAAACGTAAAATGACATGTTTATCGAATTATCAACCCGGTAAATAACGTTGTACATATTACACAGTTGAACACGAATAGTTGCTTAGAACTTCCTACATTATTACATTCGTAGTGAACTTTTAATTTCCCGTTACGGGATAAAGAGTAGAAATTAAAATGTCTTGTGTTTGAAATTATAAAATCATCATTTATTGTAATCTCGTTTATGATCGAATCAGTTGGATCACGTAGGTTTAAATTATGAAACTTATTATTACACCATATATTCGCCGCGTTGCCGATGTCATTTAAAAGTGGTTTATTATAATATTAAAAAATAATACATTTCAATTGTGGATACCAAAAGTATGAAAAAAAAAGACTGATAACGAGTTGCAGGGATTGCAAGCCACGTTTACTATTTCCAACGTACCGATCGATATATTGATGCGATACGAATTTTGAAAACCGATTTCAGTTCGTTGTAAAGTTTTTTTTAGACCGACTTTCCCACTTTTTTGATTTTGTCTCCCAAAGTTTCACAGAATTAGATTAAATAAATTGAAAATATAAAAATTAATTTTTAGGTATATTAAGTACAAAGTTTAAAAAATATTTTAAAGAAGACTTTACGACGAATTCAAATCAGTTTTCAAAATCCTTATCGCCTTAATAGATCGATTGGAAATATAAAACGTCTAAATCCCTATATTGCGCTTTTAATAAAAAAAGAAAGAAAATCATGGCCTGCAGTCCCCTTAAAATAAAATATTTATTGCCCTAAATATTTTACATCGTGAAAGTAAGCACAGATATCGTGATACGAGTATTATTGTGTCTAAAACACTGCTGCAGTACTGTTTAATATCGGAATGATAATACATGTAATTTATTTACGTATTTCTCGTTTATGCTCCTTTGGATAATTGTATGCTAAGCAAACAGTAATAGTAATAGTATGAGGAAGATAAATATTGAGAATATGCTCAGATTAAACAAACAAGACATTTTATCTCATAAATATACACTATAGGCTAAAAATATACCCGCGTTATATACAGAGTAATAATGAATTCAAAACAGGATGCATATTTTCTACAAAAGGTAAAGACATGAGCCGACCAGATAAATTCTTCGAGATATAAGGTTTCTCTCAGCAGGATTAACAAATCAATAGCCTAGAACTGAAATTTAATATGTACAATATTATAAGGTTGTATTTTGTGGTATTAGTAAGAAAATGGGTTACGGGCGTTGGGGCGTGAGTCAACATATTACACGAATGAAAATTAAATAAAAACATAAATACATAAACAATTTTAATTGAAAAGTGCATCGAAATTGACCATTGTTGCTAAGGAACGCTAAAAAATGCACAACAAAACCGTTTGTACATTGTAGAGTATACGTTTAGTCATAATTTAAGGAAATTGCAATTATATCGTGTCGAACAGTTGCATTTAAATTTCACATATATTATTCGTATTCCCAAAAGGAGAAATTTAATTTTTATATAATCGATTTTTTTTTTTTTTTTTGTAATTACTATTTTGTCTTAGAATAAAATAACATTTTAACGTATTATTTAATAAATCAATTAACCTGGTGATCTACTTGGAGAAACATTGTTGAATTATTTATACAATTATGAATAGCGTTGGGCATAATTTAAAATTCTATGATATTAAATTAGTGTAATTATATTAGTTCATTGTATTACGTTATTACATTATTATAATATATATTCAATGAGTTTAAATACATATTTTATTTCTACACCAATTATAATATTTACATAATTTTTATTTACTCTGTTTTATTCTTATGTTATACAGTTATAATATTTTATGATTTGTTACAGAATGTATGTTGATAAACTGAAATAATTTTGTCGATTGTTATTCCAATACATAATACATTTAAATGTTTCTCTCTTATTTATTGTAGTATTCTTATTCGTTTATGAATAGATATTTTGGTTTCATAAATAATTTTAAATACATTTTCACCTTCGTATTGATATTTTATCACAAATTATATTCTTTAATATTTTAAATTATATTTATATGTATATTAATAATTAATAATTAAATTGTTTTCTTAAAATTAAACGTTGGTCACCTTTATATCTAAGGTTAATTTAAAAATACTATTCAGTAGTTTTATACCATGACTATTGATGTATGGAAAATAAATCGATTTCGAGCTTTTAAAATGTATAGTTAAAGTAGTATTAAAATAATAACATTATCAAATAACTCAAAAACGCATAAAACAATTATTTACAATAAATAAAAACTTAAAAGTAGACGGGAGAACAAATATAATAGAAATTATAAAAACTGTCTTGGTATGTATTCACGAAACGTCAATCATACATTTCGTGAACATTATGAGAATAAACGCATTGACTCTAATTACATTTTATTTTAAACGCAGTTTTAAAACGTATTTCTATGATTATAACTATATAATATAAATTAATATAGTTTTCTCTCTTATTACATTTTTTTTTTTTTTTTTTTTAATTATGATGGTTGCAATTATTCTGTGATTTATGAATAGCCGCGTTTAACATTCAGAAAATCATCAATTAAAATATGACACGAAAAAAACTACCTTTTAAGGTGGTGCAACGTGCATTGTATTGACGAAACAGCCTACGACAATACATATATTTACATTACTATATTTTGCCAACGATTGAGCCATAAAAACGCGTTTCGACCTATAGACAGCGCACACAGATTTGTACAAATATTATTTAAATATTGATTACCGTTCGCATGTTAAAAGCGTACAATATTAATTTGCTTGACGCGTTCAATCTCCTCTACGGTAATGCGCTCAACAGCGGCTGAACAATATGTGTGCCCGCGCGTACATAATTTTTAACGCACAGCCGCACGGACGTCAAGAAAATCCAGTGGCGTATACAGAAAATATTTTCTCGGGACGAGCTACTATGTACAAAGTTAAATTACCACTGCTATCTTAGAATTACTATAAAGACATAATAGGTACTTATCTATATTTCATTTACAGAATGTAACATTTAAACATTTAACTTAAAACATTTCGGGGGAGGGGGGCTGTAGCCCACTAGACCCCCCCTCCATATACGCCACTGAGAAACTCTATGCACATTTAACAATTCCTCGACAATCTACACACGGGCGTCTTTTATTGTTTTTTTCAATGCAAATCTAAGCGATTTTAATTTCGATATTCAGTTTCTTCGAATTAACCAATTTAATCATTCGTTACACCAATACGTACGAGTAAAATAATGTCACACGTGTTTCTGTAATATTTTCCGCGAAACGGTTTAAGGTCCCGAAAACGTCCGTTAGTACGATTCGAAAACGTACCGTGTATAACGACCGCAATATACTCAATTGACACTGTGGTAGTCGTTATTTTGAGACACGATCGTGAGAACAGATCATTAATTTAGTTACGACTTACGTTGAAGATGGCCCCGTGATGTGATGTTAAACAAAAATACCGTTCTCTTCATTCATATGTCATAATATGCACACGTATTATATTATTGTACTGATAATATTCTTACCGTCGCTGACGTGCCTATCACCGTAGTTGCGCGCAAGATCGCGGATTGTATAACTCCCTTTGTTAATAAGAAACAGTAATAATAATAATAATAATATTAACAACGACGGAAACATAAAAAGGTAAATGGGAATCGTATTGGCTGACAAAACTATTTGTCAAGAAAATGCCGAATTCGTGGATCCTTTGAGTAGGTACTCGTTTTGAGGCGCGTATTATAATAATAATACGTATTATTATTGCTATTGATCACGGAACGTCGTGACCCGGTCAAGATAAGAAAATTCGGTCACAAAAACCACGCCCGAGTACTCTGGTTTAGTGTTATTGTTATCTTTTTATGATTATTTATTTATATAAATACACATTCTTTGTATATATATATATACATATATTAGCTTCACGTCAACTCAACGTATTATTTTTTTCTTGTTTACATCATTATTTTTACGTACCTGTATAAAAACAAAAGCTAAAAAGATGAGTTATCTCGTGTGTCTGTTTACTTTAAACAATGTGTATGGTATTATATGTTTTCAGAGTTTCGTTCGGCAGTTCGAAAGGATCTATGGTTGAAACATTAATATACGACAGCCCTCCCGTTCAAGAAGAGCTAATCGATCCTAGCGACGTCGACGAATCGGACGGGTAAGTGATATGATATACTTATTTGATTATAATTTTAAAACTATTTTTAAATTTCATTAAAATATCATATACGATATTGCACAGGAATTATTAATCAAACGCGAATCATGCTATTTGGTGAATCCGACGGTTTGCTGTTTTTTTGTAATTATAATAAAATATTGCGGGTGTGGCTTTTTGTAACGATCTAAATAAAGTCAAAACCGTCCAGAAGACTGTAATTCTGAATATTATACATGAACGTGTCTAGTACATGAAGTGTTCCTCGAGGAGAAATGTTTTTACATGAATCAAGCGTCTCTTGAGATTCCAAACAATTGCACTGTCCCCCTTCCGGAATCCTATTAACGTTTCTTAATGTTATACTAACGAGTCCATTAAAATAACTCATTTTCCTTGAAAATACATCTGCCAGACATTTTTCTTATTAATAACTTTATTTACTTGCAAATTAACTTCAAAACATTTTGGCAGAGGAAATTAGCATAATGAATATTTATCAATCATTCGTGAACAATATATCGTAGTCCAAAATTTTAAAATAACATTTACGCATTTACAAAAAATGAATACGAAACGAGAACACCTATGTTCCGACAGTAAAATTTTTTTTGCATTCGATCTTTTAACATTTCTCATTATATTTTATTGATTCCTTGATTCCCAGTATGGGACTTAAACTTTTTATTTCATTTACAGTCGTTTTTGTGTCATAAGAATTTGAAAACCAGTAACTGCAATTTTAGTACATAACGATTGCATAATATACTACTAATACATTGTTGTTATTGTTATAATATATAAAAATAAAAACATACTTCTTAAACTGTGAACTTATATTTTGCAATATAACTTTCCATCGTAGTATGTATTCTACAATCATAATGTGCTAAATTTAACAGTATACTAATTTAAATTAATTTTGCTGCGGCTTTTATTGATTTCCTCCTAAACCACCCCAGTCAATAATAAACTCAACCTGGATTACTAATTCTACTAATATTATAAGTATAATAACAATATTGTAATTTGATCATAGAATGAAGGTAACGAATTATAATTCGTAAATCGCTCTTGCATTATTTTAATTAATTCGATTTGTAGAAGAAAAAAAAGTATTAATAAAAATTAATAGGTATTATAAATTATAAAAACAAACCTAGTTCATTAGAATATTTCTAATTAAAATTACTATTTACTTTCCTTTCATTTGATGTTTGATTACACAACGCGTACATGGTTAAATTATTTGCAAAATTTAACTCGTGTAATATTGATTAATAAGTATATACCTACTACTGATAAAAATCACATTCAGAATAATTGTATGTATGACGCAATGGCGGGTAATCTAAAATCATGTACTTAAAATTTTTCAATAAACTGGTTTTGCGCATGCGTTATCCATCATTTAACACGCAAACGCAGTTCAGACATTATTTTATTAAAACTGAACATTTTATTGCGATACCAATTTTTATTTGTAATTTAATAATTAAACGATTTGATTATACCTCACGTTATCTTAATATAAAATAGTTTTCTCATAACTAAGATTTACTTAATAATTTAGTTGTTATAATATAATATAATATGTATTCAGTATTTAAATGTTTTAAAGTTATTATCCTTGATATATGTTTATCATTCTTACGTGAAAATAATTTGAGTTTTTGTTCAACTTTTATCGCAGTACTGAATTTACCAATTTTGTAGGGTTCTTGTTTCATTGGATATTATTCGATTTTAGAAATATCATATGGTTAGGTTACTTCGTATAAGTATATTGCAATAATGTTTGTATCCTATTTTCGTTCAGCTATCAACATATTCATGGTTTTATTAATGTAAGCCAATTAGACAACACGTTGAAACTTAATGATAGAAAACTACTTAAGGTATTTCATACACCAGATACGATATGATATGATATGATGAGTTAGAAAAGCCAATATTTGGAAGAACGTAGACAAATGTCCATCGACCGTTGAAAAAATACGTGTCCTGTGTCCGCATAACGAGAATTAATTTTTTTCTTTATCACGTTCAGCCCGCTAAACAGTAAGAAACAACTATCTCGATTTCGGGATGAGCAGACCGAAATTCGTAGATCGACGAGAGTGTACGCTGGCCGTGTTACGGCAGCGGAGCCCAGATTGCGGCGGGCGGCAGTAGATTACGAACATTCTATTGTGCGATTGTGCGCGGAACGTATTATCGATCGAAACCATTATCACCCGATGCATTCGCGGGATTGTCTACGGGGAAAGTGCAACAGGGCGCATCGCACGACGAGAGAAAGCGCGATTTCCTCGCGAACCGGGGGAAAAATTAACATCGTGCGTTGGGTTTTTTTTTTCCTTGCCCGTTTTCGCGTCGTCAATTGCACCTAATAATAATTCGTAGTCTTTATTCCCGTCCCGTTATTTTTATAATTATTATATTGTTCTGTGCCGGCGGGACCGCGGTTGTATTTTGGCTTGCGACGACGGCGATGGTGCGAATATAATAATAGTACGGCGCCGGACCGTGTGGCAACACTGTGCACGACGGCGGCTGCCGAATCCTCCGGTTCTCTCGGCGGTCCCTCTGTCACTCCAGTGACGCCGTGTCGCAGTGTGCGCGTGTACGCCAGTAACATTCAACGCACACTTCTTTCGCCTAACCGACGACGACGACAATAACAACAATACCCGTTGCCGATGCCGTATTGTACTCGGGCTATTGTTGTACCATTTCGTTTCGCGTGCCCAAGACCGTCGTAAATTAACGCCACCCGTTCACGTGCGAAAACCGCAGTCTTCGGCAACGACGTGCGAGCGGTTTTTTTTTTTCAATTTTTTCTTTCTCTCTCGTTATTTTCGTGCGCGAACTGCGTCCTTGCTGTCGCGGTGACGCCCACGATCTCGCCCGCTGGTAAATCGATACAACCGCGGGATAGCGCCACCGGGGAATTTCGCGTTAAGATAGGTGAGTGCTTGTTGTTGTTGTTGTTGTTGTTGATGTTGATGTTGTTTTGCGCGCGCGAATCGCCCAAAATCCAGCGCCCTCCCACGGTTCGTACCGTTACGGTCCCTGCGGGGTCCATCTCCCCCCGATCCTCGTAGTCCACCCCCGGTCTTCCGACGGCAACGTGCGTAACAGCCGCCGCCTTCAGGGCGTTGCGGACGTGGTCGTCTACCGCGACCGCGGTGATGTCATCGACGGCAGGGGCCGGTCGGACCGGTTACGGCCGATCACCGTTATTCAACCAGCTGTCCGCTGGTGGTTCGGGTGGCTAAAAGCAAAAGTCCATCCGGCCCGTAAATGGGCATAAACTTTCACGACGCGCACAAGACCGCTATTGTCGCGGCGCAAGGTCGATCGGAACCCGATTAGGCGATATACGCACGCGAGTAATTACAAATGTTTACGTTATCTCGCGGAACACGTTTGCCACTCCGCGCCGTTCCCTTCTCTCCTCGATCGGTCTAGTTTTTGGCGCGTAAACGGCAAACGAATAACATCGCGTTTGCGTCACGAACGCCTATGCGCGTAACGTAAGCGGCACGCAACGAAACGCAGTCGACAAGGTCAAATCTTCTAGATCAGCCTCGTGTTTATTATTATCGTTATTAGCGATATAATTTGTTGCCCGTGCCGCTCTGTTCGTACTCCGTGTTAATTAACCTCTAGCGATTCCGACGGTGGTTACTCCGTATAAACGATCGGCCCGACAATTATTGTTAACGTTAGTGTTACCGAAAGCCCACACGTCGCGCCGCGCTGTCCGACTGCTGCTGCTGCTGCAGCCCGACAGATATTCTCTCTCTGTAACCTACGCGTTTCGCGTGTCGGTCGTAACAACGAGAATGGTACCTACTGTCGAGTGCATTTTTTGGGTTTTCGGTTCGGAAACATTTTACCAAGCATAATATGTATATGTGGCGACCATGTGGTAGCGATTCGCTGCTCGTTCTGCTCTGGAGACCTTGGAGACATGTTCGTGAGATCTTGGTCTCGATCCAATTTGGAAACTGTCCATTTGGGATTTTTTTTTAAATCGTGTTTATTTTCGCGTTTCCTCCGGACGTCATCTGGAGAGGAGCGCCGCGCACGCCTGGAGTTATAATTAGAGACACAAATAGGTCAAACATTATGTTATGTAGGCGATGTTGAAAAACGCCGGAGTACCACGAGGGTACAATCGTTTATTTATTTATTTATTTGTTTGTTTTCAGAACCGTTGGGTCCACTAGGGTCCGAGTGAGCTTTTTCGAATCGGAAAAACCTAGTGTGCTTCCATCGCCGCCAAAATCGTTGGAAGTATTTGGCGATTGCACCATGACCACTTCAAGTCCTATTCTACAAAGGTCAAATGGCCACATCCAAACACAGATTAGGTATGTGTGATTGATAATAGTAGCGCGTTTTTAATTGCATACACGTATTTTAACCGCTACCGATTAAATGATTGTTAACAAAGTTCCAAATTACATGGTCGCATATGTATCTACTGTTATTTTGGGACAAGAGACAATACGTCTCGCCGTGAGATCGCATCTCCTATTATTGTGTTGCAGCGAGTTGATTCATGGATTCGTGGCTAATTTAAAATAGATATACCATTGTGTCTGAACGGTTGAACGACCATACGGGGGTCCGCAGACAGTGTAACATACGTGAGAAGTGTTTGCCAAAATGTTTCTAAACGCGTTGCTCGGATATTGTGATCCGGAGTAATCACACTCAACGCCCTAGACGTGGTAAAGACACGGTTTGATACGTTTATAGTGTCAGTCGAGGACGTTTCGGTGCGACCTCAAACCGCGATTCGTTTTGCCAGAAGTCTGATGTGGTAATATATCAGCGGCCAATAATGTTTTAACGAAAGGAAACAAAATAAAAATTATCACAACTGCTGCAATGTCGTCGGCTCTCGTTTTTTTTTTCTCCGTAGATAGTTTTTTTCCACGTCATTGTGCGCACACATCTTTCATAAACATGTTAATTTTACTTTCGACCGTACTGAAATACACCCATGGGTTATAATAACACAGGCGTGTAGTAACGCGATTGCGAAATGACGCGTACCAGATACTCGTAATTTCTCGCGTTTGGACATTTCGCGTTCGAAAACTGTAATTCATTAGAAGAATCTGCTCCGTCTACGACCGATGGCAGCAGGCGAAACGTAAAGGCGACGTTCGTCGTCATCGTCATTAGACACAACCGCGAACAAGTGTTGTTGCGTTACCGCACTGATGTTGGTTGGGTATTACGACAGGGCACAACACGCGCAACCGGTTCGATTAATTAACAATTAACCGTCCTTTGTTTGATGGTATCGTCACATCGCGCGCCGGTCACAACGTTAAGTGATGTTCCATTAATAAGCCCGTACGGGTCAGTAGGACGCGGTCGGGCGTGTGTGCGTGCGTAATATCGCGTACACGTGCGTGTCCCGTACGACGGTATCGCCCCAGTGAATATTTCCGATTTCTCGCATTCGCAGTGACGGAGCGATAACGCCCGCATGCCACAACACCTGCCCACTTATCGCTCACGCTCGTCACGTGCCGCGATGGCATTCGCTCGCGCGCCTACCTGCGTGTAGTGCACTTTTGCGTTTTCAATCAACTTTCGCTTGTCGCTTGTCCCGACGACGACGCCAAATACCTTTGGGGATAGGATAGGAAACAAACGCTCGCATCGGGCGTGTACGTGGGCGCCGTTAAAATCGGGAAAGAGTTGAGGAGCGGAAAAAAAAACCGCGTGCACACACACACACACACACACGCTTCCCACCTGTAATATTTACTGTACGGTACTAAAAACATCCTCTCTTCCCCGCGGCGTCATCGCCCGCTATAACCGACACCGACACGGAGACGCCGCCATAGCTTGGCGGTTACGTCACCTGGCTGCGCGCTCGTTTTACGTACACGACTGGCGCGCGCGCACGCACGAACAGTCGGTCGCTCGACAACAATCGATACGATCATCATCCGTAGTTGCTACGGCGGAGGGTTCAAGTTCCGGAGGGTGACTGGCGATGTATCGTATATTCGCGGAGGCGGCGGCGGCGGCGGCGACAATCATGCGCACGGTCGGCCGTCGACGGTTCGCTATCGATACGGGAGAGAGCCGGCCGGTGCAACGATACTATCGATTGCGCTCGGTCGGCCTCCTCTTGCGCGCCGTAGTTGTAGTAATGGCAGTAGTAGTATCCGCTACGGCCGCCGCGAGTGCGCGTTGGAAGGGGACAACACGGCCAGTGCGCGCTAAGCCCTCGTCAGTTTGTGTTTGCCACCGCGCCCGCGTCGGACGCCGGTTAGTCGTTTTCGCGCCACCACCGCCCAAAACCGTGTGCCCGAGCGAAACGTCGCCGCAGCATGCCGACGAGTATGACCGCTTCGCACGGCGGCGTGCTGTACTACGTGGTCAAGGTGCCCAAGGACGACCCTACCGCGGCGGACTACGTGTCGGCCACCGCATCGCACAAGTATCTGGAGGAAAAGCGCACGCTGTCGCCGTTGAACCTAGAGTGAGAATCCGTCGGGTTAAGTACACGACATGGCCGTGGGGGCAAGATAAAGTCGCGACTCCCTGGGACACCGGTACGATTCTCGTCTCGCCACCGCCGCCGATCGAAAATTCGCGTTCGCCGTGCCGGATGCCTTCCAAAGTGTTTTGTAAAACCGTCCAGGACAAACGATCCATCCAATGTATACGTTGACAACCGTCGAAATAAACGTTTTTCAGTACGAACGAATGTTTTTTTTTTTTTTCTACCGACTTAACGACGAGTCGTAACCCCCTCCACCGGTATCACGTCCAATTGAACAGCTTAACCACCGGTGCACCGCGACGATGTACACAATGGAACTCGATTACGTCTGTTTCTTTCACCCGCGTAACCGTCAAAAGAGGAAAAACGTCGGTACCGTATCCGTGTACTTTCTCGCGTGTTTCCTCGCCGCACGGGCCGACGGAAGTTTACGCGTAGTCATCGTAGTATAGCCGCAGAAGACGACGTGTTCCGCAACGCATTTGTTGCGTTACAATAAGCCCGAGTGGATGTGTCGCCGGCCGCCCATAGGCGTAATTATATTTAGATCGCGCGCTCGAAGAGGATATATTTTACTGACATTTGACCGTTCGTCGACGCGAGTGTACGACTAACGTGCGCATCGACGGCGAATCGGATTCCGGATTGTTCGTGGATTACTTTGAAAATCGATTTATTACGGATTTTTTTGGAAAACGTCCAATCTCCTCTGTATTACATCATCCGTTCGCGTATAAATATAATACATATGTGCACACAAAACATATTTTTGGGGATAGGCTTTAGGTTGTACATTTTCATACTTATAAAGTCTCTAAACCACTTCTACTCTGTAAAAACGTCATTAATAATTTTCATGAATTTCCATAGGGCTTAACCCCTACACCACCTCCCTTGTGCACGCGTTTTTAATGTGTACGTATTCGGCGAGTAACCGGCGCGCGTTACTTTCGACCAATCTCGTCCACATTTATTCTTCGTCTATGTTCTGTCGGTTTCGACTCGCATAGTTTCTTCGCGTTACAATACAGTGTCTTCTCCGTGCCGCGTACCTATATTATCTCATTCATTGTTATGTACATTTTTTCTGATTCCGAAGCGTTTTGCATGATGATTGATTAAACGTGGGTAAGACCTTTTGCTGTCCGAAATTACAGCCTATTGTTTTGAATGCCAAACGACGACCACACCTTTTTAAAGGTCATATTTCGAGTCAACGAAATTATCCTAAAGTTCTACAGACCGATGGATACATTAGGGATTTATATTCATATTTTGTGACTGCAGTATACAATAGCGTGACATTTCGCGTTGCGTTTCTTCCTATATTCGCCTAGTGAAATTCAAAACATCAAATTTGTTGTGTTTAAAATGTATTGTTTGTATTCGCTTCGCCGAATTTCATATGTTTACAACGTGCAAAACGTTGTATATTTGAACATGAATTACGTCACGGCTACTCTCAAATATTGGATAGTTGTTTGGCCCTTGCAGATTTTTAAAAACGCAATGTCATCCACGTAGTTTTGTGCTGAGTCTATGATGCAAATGCCACTTGACAACGCGTCACAATCGAATGTGATAAAGATAAAACGATATGAATTTGGAGTTGGATAAATCGTTCTAGTGTTTACCGCGCGGTACATGTCGCGAAGCGCACGCGAAACGTGTATGGAGATAAGATAATACACTTTTCGTTAGGCTAAAATAATGATTGTACTTGCCATTATGCGCGTTACGTTCGTGTGCAGTCGTTTCACGTTTTATTTCGTGCGCATCGCGTCGTCGGTTATTATTGTGCCGCCCTCGTTCTTCTGCTTTCAAAAACCGCGGTCACGTGGAAAACGTGTCCAGTGCGGATTCCTACGAGAGATTATTTTTTTATTTATTTATTTATTTTTTTTTTTTTTCTGTACGTTTGGTGAGATCCCACTCTCGGCGACGACGTGTACGAACACGCAACGAATCGTGCTGTTCGAAAAAAAAAAAAAAAAAAAAAAAACCACACCATACGGATTGTGTTATTTGGCTGATATTTTTCGAACGCGTTGATCATAATTACTACAGACCCCTGAGCGCGTACACGTACATAAATCCCGTGTCGATGATGGTCATCGTTTGTTGCCCGACGTCGTATTATACGAGATTTTTCACGGACAACCATCACGGTTCGGTGAGTCGGCAATGGTCCGTGAACCGCTGCATCAGGCTCCAGCTCTTCCTGCCGCACGTTAACTAACCCGACCATTAAGTGCACCAGCCGGCTAGATGTTACATTTACGTACAGCGTTGTTATTGTGTCGCCGACAGAATTCCGACGCCTTTTTACTCTCTCCTCCCGTTCTCGTCGTCGCGGTGCGCGCGTGAGCCACCTCGATGGCCGCTCGGTACTGTCGAAATAACGAAAATCATTATGGTTCCGTTGCGTATAAAATAACGCGTTACTTGACGACGTTTTTTCATCGTCGTTTCCGACGCAGCGGCGCGACCGACCCCGAGTATTAATGTTTCGGTCGATGGGAATCGTCGTATTACGCGATCGCATAAAAATACGATTGTTTCGCATCGGAATGCTGCGCGAGTAATAATTCGTTTTTGGCAGGAGCGGACTACCTCCTAATGCGGGCTGTTAATCCTCGATCTCTATCGCTACGAAGCCTCCGCCCCGGATAATAATATAGTGGCGATTCGATTCGACACGTTATTCTAATCGTATGTATTTCACGTCGGTGTTTCAGTACGGACGGATGGGATAATCCCTTCAGACCAGACGGTGACCTGTCCAAGGAAGCCGACCAGATAGTCGAACTGATCAAAGAGGGCAAACCGATCACGCCGACGCCCACGAGCGCCACATCGCCGCTGTTGACGGACCACGGGGGCGCGGACGTGAAACACGACCAACAACCGGTGACGTCCACGCCGGCAAAGGCGAACGGCACGTGCAGCAGCGAGACGACCGCAGTGCCGCCCAACGTGGAAGTCCAAAGAGGTAATAATACTTCGGGTGGTATTTCACTTGTTTTAGATTTTTCGCTCCGATCGACCGATGGTCAATAATAATAGAAATGTTAAATAATAACAACGACTGCAGCAAAGCGGTAATGGATCATGTTCGTTTTTACGGCGGGCCTGTGGGAACTGAATATGATACATAATATACTAGCGATAATCTCTCACACGTATGGGCGTATGAAACGTTTTTCGTTTAAGATTTTTCCCGCGCCGCGACTCGATGGAAACCATTTTTCCTCCTCGAACCCATGGCTGTATAATAGTATTATCTTTATATTATTATACACTGTACGGTTGGTCACGAATCGCCGCCATCGAAACGATATCGTATCCGCGCATTTATACGTGTATAAGCCCATCGCGGGAGGTCGACGGCGTGCAGTTAAAACTTATACTCTCAATTCGCGGTGGATAAACGTAAGAAAGAAACTAATGAAAACCACGACTAAATCGAATATAATTTCAATCTGAATACTTTGTGCATATAATTTGGTGAGAAAAAATGAATCGATCAAAGTACAACATTCAAACTGTTAACACATCATTTTTTCTTTATTTCCGTTTAAAATTTGTGTCGGTGAAAAGTTTAATTAATGTTTTCGAAACTAAATTAAATTTGGTACACCCGCATAGTACCTTCCACAGATCCTCACATTTACGAAAATAATGAAGATTTACAAAATTGTACTCGATCCTCATGATCCGTAATGATTTCTTTAGACATCCTTTAGATGCAATAAATAATGCATTAGCACGGATTACCGTGACCTAAGCAATTAATTTCGTTAATAAATATACAACGCGGAACAAGTGAAAATTGTTGTTGATTATAATGTTATCTTATGCATGTATTCCCGTGTTCGATATTTTAAAACTTATCAATTTTATTAATGTGCACATGTTTAACCTTTTTTTTTTTTCGATTACAGGAACTGTGATAAATGGAAACGAGCCTTCCCAGGTGGAGCACGTAGTATTGAAGAAAAAACCCAAATGCAGGTGTTGCGTGATACAATAACACACGCGACCACCGGAAACACGTTTTTATTGTTCTATATAAAACATAATAATCCAAAAGCGCATAAACCAAATACCATAAGAACGCGCTGTGCCTTTCAGCTATGTCGTTCGTGAAATGATTGTGATGATGATGATGATCGATGATGATCCACCATCGCCACTACACAAGTCCTCGCGATGCGATTCAAAATTATTTTTCAGAGCTATATTATTATTATTATATATATATATGTTTGTACCTATGTTTGTATTTATAAGTATATATAAAACTTTACAATTTGTATTATAAAAATAATGACTTTTCTATATATATATAAATATCCGGTGTTATAACGGTATAAATAAATGTCACATAGTTCCTTTATATATGTATACATATATTACGATATTTATTGATTAAAAAAAAAAATAAAAAACGAAAAAAAACGAAAAAAAAATTGTAATAGTATAGATATTGCTTGTGACATATATATTTTACTCGTGCATATTATTTGGACAACTGTGGTTCGTAATGAAGACGGAGGAAACGTAATTAAAAAAAAAAAATGTAAATTTTCACGCAGTCATTATACGATATAGGCGCAAACGCACGCTCAAACATTTTATTTTACGAATTCACAATAGGCAAATATATATTTTTTTGCAGTAGCTAAACCCCTACTCTTTCTGTGATTATATATATTTATTATTTTTTTTTTTTTTTTGTTTTGTTATTTATTTTTTATTTATTACTTGGCAAATATTGTTCTAGGGATTCAGCGAATTATAACACTAATTGTATACCATATAAATATATTTTGTAATTTTCATTTTAATGTATTAATGTATTGGGTAAAGGAATAAGAAAGTTTTGATGTATAATATGTTCACATAAGTATATTTTTTCATTATGTATGGAAATGTTGGAAACTTAACAAAACGTTGACTTAATCATGTTGATATTCTATCTAAACCCTTTTTCCATTTATGATATTGATTTCTTTCTCTTATGATGTAATGATATAATATACGGTACGTTTGTCATTAAAATTCGTCCAATATACTCATTAACGTCGCAAGAAAACTTCGGACCAAACATTTGTAGACACGCAGACTTACACTTTTGGACTTTTTTTAATTTATTATTTTTTATTCAAAAACTGTGTATAATTTGAACCTTTATAATGTATAAGTAATTTGTTATGAAAATTGCACGTAACAACTATAATATAATTAAAACTAATAACAACAATGTTTTAAAGATTATTTCCAACATTTCCAGTGCATTATTCTCAACAATTGTGTATCGTCTCTGAACAATGTCATAATAATAAATATATTTGTACTTGAACACTGTATACTCGTTTGTATTGTGAAACGATCCCGTCGAGTTTGCGTCGAATTTGCACACGCAAATTGAAACGGGGCGCATTCAACCGATGCCATCCGGATGGACAATAATCTCTTGACAGAAGTTATACGAAGACTTCCAAAGTATTTACGTCAGAGCAACACGAACATGCGTGTCCTGAACTGTCAAGGATTATAATTTTTTTTATTTTCACCAGATGCACGGAATTATCTCTATAACTCTGACAGCCCCTGTTGCACGTCGGACGTACACGATTAAATCCGTGACAATCTTTCCTTATTGATTTCTCTTTGTTCGTTACTGTTACAAAACCTATCGGTCATGCAGCACTGTGCACAGTTGGCTCTGGGTGTACTGTACAAGCTGTTCGAGAGAAATTAATCGAATCGTTTGTCACACGTTGTCGCGTCCTGGACTTTAAATTGTTTATAACATGCTCGGCGGGCAGGAGGAACGTATGTGTATGTATAGAATGTAGTCGTATTACTAATAAATGTATCCGCGAACAGCATATACCACGTTTTCATACACGTAGTTGCTCACCGTAGAGCGACAGTGTAGGAGTTAGGGGCGAATGATGTGTTTCCATATGAATTGGTTTATAAGGCATTGCCCGGCACTTATTGTTATGCATTGTCGACTGTATGACCAACGGATAAGGAAACCTGGCTCCATTCCCCCATGAAATGTTTCGGAACCCGTGCCTTAAGATAAACACATCGAACGCGCAGGTAGAGGTCACGAACTCGCCACGGCTCTATTATTATTTGATCACTGTTTAATTAGTAAAATGAACAGTAGGATACGGCTCCTGTGGTTTCCTCGTGGTCCTACGATTTTTTTCTTTTTTTTTTTACCAATCTGAACGCGTGTTTTCACTTGCAACGGTCTATTCGGTTTCCTTGTCACCTATACACATAGAAAACGCGAAGTGTATAAAAAATACACCCAACAACATTTACTCCCGAACGCACAACCATCTCGTCCGCAGAACTGTTATAACTTTAAAAAGTGGGGGAAAGGGTAAGTAACAAGTATAAGTCTATAAATGTTCCGTCGCGATCGAAATATATCATGTTATTATTTTTCTCGGAGAAGAGGGACGGAGTCGAGTGTTCAGGTGAAACGTACATTAGTCATTCTCTATAATTGGAGTGGTTGCAATAACGTTTTATTTCGGGACGAGGTTTTTTGGCCGGAAAAACAAAAATAAAAAATTTACGCAGCACACGCGCGTGACGCTTGTCAAAACAATAGTTGCCACCTACTCCGGGCCCAAGCTTGCGTTATTTCTGCACCGTGATATTAATATTACAATATGATAATGTTTTGACAGTTTGAAAAATACCAGCAAAGGCTGACTGATTTATTCTTGCCGGTAACAGTGATGCGCCCCTCGCCTTTGAACTGACGGGGGGTGGGGCATATAAATTTCAAAAAGCTAATAATAAATACATTTTGTGCGCCCAATAGACGATCAAGTTACGACAAATGTTGTAAGAACGTTATTGAAATTATTTGTTTATAGAAATTAATCCAATTTACAAAATGTACTTACACAGCAGCGGATTGATACTTTCCGGCCCACCGTGATTTTAAATTTATATCGGTCCACAAGGACGTCATTTAAATTTTTTTATTGTTGGAACCAAATTGATTGCAGGCCATTTCAAATCATTACCAGGCCACAATCATGGGCAGCTTTTAAAACAGGAAATTTATTTTATGGATACTCATGCTCACAATGACACAATATCCACTTGTATTTCTATAATTTAACAACTTAAATTCAATTTAATAACAAACCGTGGAGTTGTACCAATAAATTAATTTATTATTATAAAACAAAATTTCACTTATACCTATATTCGTAGGAAATAAGTGACAGGTTTTAAAATGTAAACAACATTAAAATTCAAAATTAGCACAATACTTCAACAGTAAATTATAAATCAACTTATTGAATTCAATAAATTACTCTGTTGGTCGTTAAAAATAAAATCACTCGTTTGACGTCGATGCAATAGCAACAATGGAAATAATAACGAGCCATTACAAACAATAGATACGAGTAGTTTCTATTCTGCGAATAACTCTCCGCGCACATCATGTTATTATACGAATTTTGCCGGTTTCTTTTTCTGTACATGAATAACCATAACACGTGATGAACTCCAAACGATTGTACGAGTCTTCGTCTACCAAAGCTTCGTTGATGAACGTGATGACTGGCGATGTGTTTTGTATTTCAGGTGACCGACACTTGGTAATCGGTCGTGCAATATCTTCAGTCGTAGCAGTAGAAGAGCCATACGTGTCGGATCATCAATGCTACATTCAATATAGAGCTAACAGAAAAGGATACCGCGATGTTAGAGATACGTCTGTTCCGCTATCGGTTACCGTGTTCGGTTAGTCGGCTTGCAGATTTTCTTAGGAAACCAATACCTGGACGAAAATGTTCAGTTTCTGTTAACTTTATTAACCTTTTATTTTTAATTTTATAAAAAAACTACGATGAAAAATGATTCCCATTCATAAAACTTTAAGAACTTGAGAGTTTTCCAGGCCTTATACATACTTAGATTTATAAAAAAAAAACATTTACTTGGGTATTATTAAAATATTATTTAATAACTGAGGATAATTAGCGGTGTAAACTATTATACATATATCGTTATTGTTTCATTTTATTTAATTACTTCTCGGTTACCATTTGTAATCCAAACTTATATTTAAAATACGGGACATATTCAAGTTAGGTCCCAGATAACATTCACGATAAAGATAAATAACTAATTGGGTCCGATTTTAAAAATAACATACGAGTTCAGTCCGACTATAAAAACCATAACATATTAGTTCAGTCCAACCGCTACAACAATAAAATTTGTAACTTACAAGTACTGATACACTTGATAATGTTAAAAAAAAATAATAAATTTGAATTTGTAAAAGCTCTATTATTTAAATTTTTAAATTGTTTAATCATTTAATTCATTTATTTACCATACACCAGTATTTAAATTTTCAATTAATAATTACATATATGCCATATATTAGAAACTTTTAAAAAAAAAATCATACTTGTGTAATGTAATTTATAGATAACTGATAGTTCTAAATCTGTAAAAATAAGAAGTGAAATTTTTTTCTATGGACCCAACTAGAGTAGTACTAGTAAAATCGTGGGACCCAACTAGTGTACTACCTGAAAAACACTGGAACCTAGCTTGACTAAATAAGGGTCTTCGGGACCCTAGTAAAAAACTAGTAAACACCGAAAATAAGAGCTTAACTCATTGTTATCATACGATTTCTCAATAAATAAAATTGACGATTTTATTGATTGGCTGAAATTATTGGGGACATTTTTTTTTTATATATTCCATGTATTTTATTTGTCATGTAAACCCAAGACCTACCTAATATAACTACCAGGATTGGGATTTTATAGCATTTGCATATTTCTTATGAGATGCTTAAAAAATAGGAGAGTTATCTAAAAATGTGTTTCATGATACAGAGAATTCGAATAAAAAATTGTATTTTGCTTTTTTTTTTGCATATTTTGCATTTTTTAGTTTTTAGTGATTTTTTTGGATTTTTTGAGACTTTTTTGCATTTTACCTGTGTTTTAATCAAAATCGGGTATATTTTATGAAATTGTATTTTAGTAAACGTGTTTTTTGATTTTTATTAATCGAATTTTCAAGATAATTATAAATGTATAGATTAAGTAAATTAGATCGATTACGCTGATGCAACGCTGTACAATTACAGCAATTATATAGAGGTAGGTATAATATAATATTATGATAATTTCATTTTAGTTATTTGGTTCTAATTTTTATTATCTGCTGATTTTTTTAGAGGTTTTTTTTGTCGATTTCTACTAAATCTACTAATAGCCGATTATCAACGAACGAGTGTAGAATTCGTTTTATACAGTCCACATTCGTTTCGTGTACTCGTACAAAATTATTAAATAATACATTTCCTTTTTTTTTTTTTTGTTGTTTTTATTGCATATTTTTAGAGCTTATTTAGCGATTTTTAAGGTAATATTATAACGCATATTTATGCAATTTTAAGTGCTATAAAATCCCAATCCTGATAACTACTGTTCGGTTAATCATATTGACGGATTTACCCGGGACCACGACGTCTTGATCGCGTCAGCGCATGCTGTGGACAATAAAGTCTACCTGGTCTACAGAGTAGACTGGAAAGATATCGTCTATCTAGTCATCTAATATCACCGTATCACCTGCAAGTGTCAACGAACAAAAATAAAGCGATTGAAAAAAACCCACTTTCGCGATGTCATCTTTAAAAAGAAAAAAAATTGTTGACCATCCAATCACGGTATGCGTGTGTTCTACGATACCACCGCCGTCGATTGACTTCATTCCGACGGATCCTAATCCGGTGCATCCTCTTCCCGGGCGTATCGCCCGCCCAGCTTGGTGTTTGCGCTTGTTGCACACTGACGCTCGCAACTCTGCTACCAGAATGTTGTTGGGCGCAACCGGAACAAATTCGACGACGAGAGTTGTCGTCTCCCGTGCGTCCGATTTGTCTTTAAAGTCTCCGAACATCTCTCTTAGAGTCTCTGAAAAACTCTTGTTCGTCGATATCATGTTATGTTTGAAAATCTCTAATAGCAAATACAAAACACTATGTAATTTGAACAATAACGATATTTCATTGCCATATTAAATATCGATAACATCTGGTCACTTATTAAATATAGATAAAGTGATT